CCATGGGGCCGAGCCCTCTGTGGGGCTGCGATGGGGCCGAGCCCTCTGTGGGGCTGCGATGGGGCCCGAGCCCTCTGTGGGGCTGCTGTGGGGCTGAGCCCTCTGTGGGGCCGCCATGGGGCCGAGCCCTCTGTGGGGCTGCGATGGGGCCGAGCCCTCTGTGGGGCCGCCATGGGCCCGAGCCCTCTGTGGGGCTGCGATGGGGCCGAGCCCTCTGTGGGGCTGCTGTGGGGCCGAGCCCTCGCTCAGCTCCCTCGGAGCTGCCCCAAATTTGGTTGCTGGTTTTGTTGTCTCAAGGTGGGCCAGGCTCCTGCACCGCTCCGGGTGTAAAGGAGGGACAAGAGACACCTTGGCTTCTCCTCTTGTTTTTGGGGTTGAGATTCCTGTTGGGGGGTGCAAATAGGTCTGAATGTTACTCCCAGTGTAGAAATGACTTGTCATCCTGACGGGGAATTCTATGACAGCTTCAGGGCTTGTTCTTTCGTTGGCTTGGACTTGAGCTGCAGGCCGTGCCAGCTGATCCCGTGTGCCAGTGGCAAAGGAAGGTGAGATCTGTTCCCCAGGCTGAGCCCCCTGTGCCCTGCCCAGGACCCTTCCTGCAACGCTGCACAGGGAACTGCAGATAGCCCAGAGCCTTCCAGCAGCAGGGCTGGAGGGCAGCGGTGCTGCTGCAGCTCCTTTCCCAAACATTGCCACTCCTCTGGAAGGCACCTGTGCTCTGCGGGTGGAGGTCCTGTCCCCCAGCCGCGGTGCGGAGGGTTAAGGAGCTGGAAGTGCACGGGAGGCAGCATCCTTGAGGGGCTGGAGTTGAGGAGGGCTCTGCCCATGGCCGTGCACTCAGGGGTTTGTGCCAGAGCATCCACAGATGGGACAGGGCACGGCTGGAGGCTCCCCTCGCTGAGCACACCCATCTGTAGGGCAGGGACACTGGAGAGAAGGATGCCTGGGCAGCACAGGGTCCTCTCAGGGGTTCCAGCTTCTCCTTGAACTGCTCGGTACTCTGCAGTGGCAAAGAGCCGACGGGGAGTTTTTCTCTTCAGGTCTGCACCGGGCTTGAATGGAAATTCAAAATAGCGGTCAGTGTGCAGGAACAGCTCTGGTTCAAAGAGGAAACCTGATTTTGGTCCAGGTTTGGTTTGACTGATTATATCCAGGAAATCCTCCCACTGTGCTCTCCAGTTTCTGATCCTGCTGTGTTAAATAGCAATTTGGCTCAATTGCATTATTTGAATCCAGTGGGCTGCATTTAACCTGGCATTAAAATGCATGTTTGGGCTTGTATCTTTTAAATTTGATATGAAGACAGCTGTATGCATTTTCCCTTGTTTGTAAATTGTATACATATGATACGATGTTTTCAGTAAGCGCTAAACAATGCAATGTGAGGCATTTCAACAAAGGAATAATTTAATGCAACCCAGCAGAAATGCAGAGCCTTAGAAGTGGTTCTTTATGAAACTACAAATTTTGGAAATGGGTCCAGAAGACCTACACTGGAGCAACACAAGAAACAATAGTTAACACAGTAACATTTTTCCTGTAAGAAAAATACACCATGAAGAAATTATATTTTGCCTATTTTTTTTTTAGCTTGTTGATTTACTTGAATGCTTTAGTTGGCATATTTTGTATTTGTTGCATGGTAGGGATTAAAATTCTCATTTCTTCACCAAAAGAGAATTTTGTCGCACAAGATGCACTTTAAACCGAACGAGATTTTTTTGGGGCAAGTGTAAATTTGTCTCACATATTTTGTTCCAGTTCAAAGAAGATTAACACATTGTTGTGTTCTTTCATCTTCAGTTTAGCTTTAGCAGAATGAGACACATTTCCTTCTTGAGAGCCACAACTGTCCCTACCTGCACAGGTGGAGGAAGGGTTAGGAAGGGCCGCACAGTTTGTTGGGGCAAATTCTTAATTTCTTCTTATTATTAACAATTATTAATGAGCTCTGCTGGAGCTGATGGGAACCAACCTCAGCTCCCACCTTGCTCAGAGTGTGGATACTGCCATGAGCCCTCCTGGTGATCTGGGCTGAGTTAAGGAACAGAGAGAGAGAACCTGGTCCTTCCTGCTAAAGAAAAGGAGCAAAAACACCGTGTGAGACATGGATTGGGATAAATGCAGCAACAGAGGGTGCTGGAGGGTGCTGGACAGCTGGCTGGGGGAGCAGGCTGGCTGGCAGGAACAGCCTCTTGGGCTGTTTATCCAGCACACAGCAGTGCCAGGCAGGACTGTGTGAGCTGTCAATTGTCAGCTCAGATCGGCGTGCAGGTGGAATGGAGCATCTACAAAATACTCTTTGTAACTAAACTGATGGAATTGCCTCCACACAGCCCTGAGGTGGACCTTACTGCACACAAAAAGGTAAAGTGTTACACAGCTACCAGAGGGACTCAGCAGAGTTGGGTGTTACCCTTGGATGAAGGGAGGGAGGGATAAGTGCCAGCCTGGACCGCAGGTAGAATGTGCTTGGAGATCACACTGCTGCTATCTCTAGCTCTGGGGTCTCTTATCAGAGGATGACACAGTCCAAATTAAAGTGCAGGGGTTTGCAGTACACGGGAAAATGAAATGAAGGCACCTCAGTGTTCCCAAAAAAACCCCGTGACTCCATAACACTTCCTGAAGTTGACAGAAAAATGCATTAGTGGTAAATCAATGAATCCCTGGCCATGATTGGCATTTTCAAAACTGGCCATCGATACAAAGCCTCAAAATGTGCCTCAGATTCAGGCACATTGGTAGGGCTGCAGTTTGCCCAGGTATGCAAGAAGCTGCAGATTTTCCTGCTTCTGCAGTGTGGACCTGAAGTTGCTGCAGGCTGTTTTCCCCAGTCCTGCTGCCTGCTCTGTGCCTGTCCAGGCTGGGACTGAGCCCTGAAAGCCGGGAATAGCGATCCTGCCCTGCTGGTTTGCGTGGCTCCAGAAGGTAATGGTGTGTGGAGAACCCCCAGGCTGTGCACAACCATGGGTGAGAGGGTAAAGCATGGCAGAAACCCAAACCCCTTTCCTCCTTCACCTCTCAAGGGTGTCTTGCTCCAGCATAGGTGGCAGTAGGATTGTTGTGTGTGTGAGCACGTGCATGTCCCTGTAACAACAGCCAGAGTCTCTCTCTCTCTCTCTCTCTCTCTCTCTCCAGTCGAAGACCACCCCCTTCACCTACTCGGCCCACTGTAATCCGTCCGTTAGATTCATCCCTGTTAGACTAAAAGGAGTTTCTGGCATGTCATTCCTTGTTAACCAAATCTGTGGAAACAAATTGCTTGGTAACTGTCACAATAACCAATGTATAGTCGCATGTATGGACATCTATAGGCAAGTAACCAATTTTACTGATATACTCTGTCCATCCCACATTGTTTATGAAGTCTTCAGTGTTTGGGGAAGGTCTGTGCTGCCTTGACTTTTCCTTCTGCAATAACTGATGTTAGCTAACTTACTGACACATATCTCCACCCAGACAACTGTGCTCACAGTCCTCTGCAGCACATGGAGGGCTTGACTCTGTGTTTGTGCATGTGTTGATTTGATCTGCTGCTTTTTTGTTTCCTCTTAGCTGAAAGGAATCTTGCTTTTATTTGCACCTTCCAGGTTTTCTGTTTTCTCTTGTAATGGCTAAACTGGGGAAAGAAAAGCCATGTGGTTTCTTACCAAGCTCTTCTGAAGGCCCCACATTTCCAGGTCTCTCTTGCAAGAGGCTTACTTCTCCTATAAATTCTCCTTATCCGAAATCTAGTTTTAAGGAATGTTGTTAAATGAGCGGGGTGTGCATGGGACAAGGCACATTTTGCTTTATTTCCATGCTGGCAGCTGCAGTGCCAGGTTGGTTGGGCTGGTGAGGAGCAGGTTGGGGTTGTGAGATATTTGTGATGTTTTCACATGCCAGTCAATGCCCCCGGTGTAAAGATTTTCTTTTTGCATTACATGGTCCTTGCTTTACCTTGGTTTACTGCTGCTTTATCCAGCTGTGTTCTGGGAAGTGCTCAGCTGTGCATCCTGGATTATTTTAGCAGCTGCTCACTTGCAGGGGTCCTCTCTGCCTCTCGTTTTGCACGTTATAAACTAATGCATTATAAAAACCTTTTGTCTTAACTGCATTACTTCACTTTAAACACTTAGGGTCAGTGTCACCCTTAAAGCTTAGAACTTACTGAGTTAACAGAATGAAACTAGAGAAGAATTTGGCCTTGTTCCTTCAGAAAATATGAATTGCTGCTATTACAGTTATGGTTACAGATCCCTGGGCAAAGCAATTGGTGGTTTCAAAGGTCCCCAGTACAATCAGTGTAATAAATGTATTTATTGAGACCGTTTGTAGGGCTCCAGTATGCTGTAGCCCCATGGTTAGGAAGAATCCAATCAAAGAGCAACAACAAATGGGGATTTAGCCTATTAATTCCCAGGCTGCTGATTAGCTGTGCTCACCAGTGCAGCAAATCATGTTTCAGCTTGCAGAAGAGAGATGAGCTTGGGGAAGCACCACAATTTGTATGTTAGCTTAACTTCAATTTCCTGTCAAGCCCATACTTGTGACACGTGCCTGGGGAGTCTGCAAGTGACATCTGATGCACGGTGAAGATGGAGTTTGTCAGATCACTGGCATCATGGTGATGGCAGCAGACTGCTGAAGTGGCTGCTGTTTGTTTGTTTGTCCACATCTCCAGTGCCAATGCACAGAATCGGCTTTCAAGGAAAAGGTTACGAACACAACCACAGTCTTACCAATTTTTATTACAAAAAAGAAAACACATCTTGATGATTCTTCTTCTACACAGCTTTCCACTGCTCTCTGCTGTAACCTGTGCTGATTGTTGGGTATATTTTTGTAAATAGACACAGTAGCCCATATTGTTGCCTTGCCAGCACTCCTCAATATCCCAACAGTTTATCAGAACTCTGTTACTGACTGGCAGCTGATGGAAAGCCAGGTTCAATGCCTGATCACTGATATCACTTCTGATATCAGAATATCAAATTCTCATACTCACTTGGTGATAGAAGACCAGGCTGGATGGGTCTTTCAGCAACCTGATCTAGTGGAAGGTGTCCCTGCTCATGGCAGGGGGCTTGGAACAAGATGAGCTCCAAGCTCCCTTCCAACCCAATCCATCCTAGGATACTGCAAGGCCACAGTGGGTTTATCACACCATAACCCAAAGACTCGGCTTAGCTGTCCTTTGTTCAGTGGGAAAAACATCTCCTCCAGGAGGTGATTCAGGCCAGTGTGGCTGCATGGGACATGAGGACAATGCTGGTAAGTCAGGAGCCTCAATTTCATGACACAGATCCTGGCCTAAAAATGAGCTTTTAAATGCTCTCTACTTGAGACTCCCTAATTTACTTTGTTTCTGCCAAGCATAAGGAAGTAGGTGGCACAACTGAGCACTGTCCTTTGCTCTGCCCCCAAGAAACTATTTCTCAGCAGTAATCCTGAATTGTAAATAAAGCTCCCAAGGGTGGATTTACCTGAAAGAGGAGGAGGAGGCAGTGAGGTGTCAGCACCATCTGGTTCTGTGCTTGATGCTGAGGGCGCAGGACACAGCTGCACAGCCCTCCTTCCTCTGCATCCTCATTCAGATCTCATCTAAATCTGGCCCTGTGCCCTAAATGCAACACTTTTAGGTGTGCAGGTTAATAAACAACCGTGAGCACAAATCCAGGGTTTAATGGTTTCACCTCTTCTTGCGTATGCGCTTGTGAGAATAAACCACGTAGAACTGTTCCTAGGAAAAACACTTAAATGCTTCCCAAGAAATTGCCACATTCAATTGAGTAAGTACTGTCCTTCAGCCTTGGCTCACTCCCTTCTGCTCTGGAGTGCCTGGAATGGGTTTGTTTGTCCCACTTAACTCCTGATGCTGGCGAGTCCCATCCATCCTGTCCCTTGTTCTCAGAGCAGCAGCCTCAGCAGCAACTCCATGCCCGAAGGAAAGCAGGACAAGCACCCTGTGGATCTGCCAGAGCACCTCTGCAGACCCACTTAGGTGGGATGAGCCAGGTCTAAGCTCCGTGTGTGATGAGCACAGGTTGCTGTGCCTTGCTCTGATTCCCTGTGGCACAGCTCTGATTGCCGGGGCATAGTGGAACAATAATGAAGCAACACCAGTGGTTCTGATCTTACAGAAAGATCTGGCTGGTGTAGCTGCTAAGTTTCAGGAGGTTGCTCATCTAATACTGCATTTAGGCCGAGCCTGGATCTCTGCCTAGAGAACATTTCCACCTCACCCCATCGTTGCTGACCAACAGCCGAAGAGCTTGCGTGTGCCGTGAACGGCTCTCGGCCTTGGATCTCAAGGGATCTTGTGCTAGGGTTAAAAAGATTGTATGTTCAACAAAAAGGCTTATGTACATAGTTAATGTGTGTTTATTTTATTGCTGATCTTGTTGCACTTTCTGAGTAAGCCTCCTAAAAGTAGATTATTTATTATATTAAAGAAGACACATTATAGGTTATGGCATTTCGTGTTCAAGTATAACATAGAAAATATTATCCTCTCTGTTCCAGACAGCTCCACTAACCATGATGTTCACAGCATACTGAGATTCCTAACTAGTTTGATCCTTCTGTCTTAAAATAGCCCAAACCTGATTTGAGAGCAGACCTGTTTTGTCCCTGTGCCACCAAGGAGCCTCCTGGGGCACTCCTGGCACAGCTCCTCCTGCTGTGGCACTGCCCCTGCTCCCAGGCTGGAGCAGAACAGCTCCCTTGTGTAAATGAATGTTACTCTGCCTGTCTTTCCTCTTGCTTTGTCTGCAGGCGAGCTGATGCCGATGGCTCCTCCCGTCCAGACAGTCCTCCACTCTTGCTTGATCTATGATTTGTCCCGCCTTGCCGGCCGTTTGCTTTACTGCTGTCTCTTTACTTTTCCAGGATGGGATAAACGATGACTTCTTTTTTGTAAGAAGCAAACACTTAATTTCTTTCTGATTTTTTTTATTTTTCCTTCTCTGTATGTTAATGCCCCAGTTCATGTGAGCCAAAACATCTGCCTTTGGTTTCGTAATCTGTAAATGGTTCCTGGTGTTGACCTTTGAGCACAGCGAGTGGATTCCCAAAACTGTGGTCATTACTGAGCATCACATACACCTGCTGTAAAAATGTTATGCTGCATTTCTGAACCTGAAATAAACTGAAATTCATGATGGGCTTTTATTATTACTTTCTGGATGTGTATGAGTGGTGTCTTCTGTCTCTTGCACCATCATCTCAGCATTCCACACTGCCTCGGTGGGGACTGCAGGGAGGATTTATTGGAGGTGCTGTTGTGCTGAGATCACTGGAGATGTCATTAAAGGGGAGGTGGAACCCGTTGGGAAGCATTCAGCCCGCTCCCCTGCAAGGGGCTTGGAGTGCTGCAGAGATACTTTGCTGGGAAATGGATGAATGTTTTACAAGCAGTACCTGGGATTCACTTCATTGCTGAGGAAAGCACGTTCAGAGGAGTCTCAGAGCTGTGCAGAAGGCCAGACTTGAGTCCTCCAAAGGAGGAGCTGGAGTTAAAATGTGCCTGAAAGGGATTTCCCCCTAAGGTTGTGTAGGAATGTGCAGATGTCCTGATTATTCGGTTTCTCCTGCAGGTCAGGATGAGCCAAGTAGCTGCAGTTTGTGCTTGGAGATGCTGTGTAGGGCACAAAGAGCATGAGAGTTTCCTGTGAGAACACCACAGTGCCTAAGTGGGTCCTTAGGTTTTGGGAAAAGAGGGAGCAAAAGGTGGGATGAGCACAGCAGGGACATCTCTGCTGTATTCTGTGACTTTTGGAGTTTGCTGGTGTTTATTGGCTGTGGCTGAGGCAGTTTGTGCTCCCCGAGGGAACAGCAGTGTCCCACGTGTCCCCTCTGGCTGGAGCCCAGTTCCAGGAATGCTGGGCAGGCAGAGCTGAGGGCTCTGTGCTGGGTACCAGGAGGAGCAGCTGCTCTTGGCACTGGGCCCTCGGTGCCACGGGGCTCTCCAGCTTCATTCAACCTTTACCTTTCCCAGCAATGTCCCCCCAGCCACCCCACAGGGTCTGCTCTGATCATCCCTCATTTCACCACAACCTCACAAAAGTTCTACTCCAAGAACAGTGCTTGAAGCAGATAGTGCTGAGAATCTTAAGGCT